GATATAGCCTTTATTTTCATTGAACTATATCCAATCATTTTGAAATATATCGTATTGAATTGAAAGCTCACTGTATCAAGATATGTATCATATTGTGGTCTATGTATCGTATCGGCAACCTCTCAATGACCCAGCCCTAGATCTGACATGTAACTTGGTCTCGTCTGATCTCCATGAAGATAGAAAGCTTAACCCTCCTGTTGTCCTCATATTCTGTATACACCCCGTGTCCTCTGGGTCAAAATGACCCGTCTTCACTAAATCCCCAATATAAGCAGTTTAATTGAATTTTATACACCAAATTTTATTTAGCTTGAAGAAACATTCACCACAAAATGTGTGAATACTTGAGTTTTCCCTTTTCACCTGCATTTCTATAGCTTTAGAAACAAAAGAAATGTGCAAAAAGGAATTTTGAATGCGTTTTTATTCATCCCAATGAATAAGATTCTTCAGGGGGGTTTTTTTGTTTGTTTTTTTTTGCCAGTGAACAATGTAAGAAAATATACAATCCAAAAAAAACAATAACTCATTCAACTAATTAGCACATGTAGAGCAGTACGCAAATGCACAGCTCTTGCAGATATATTTCTTACACCTACAGCACACAGTATGTGTTTTACAGTCCTTCTTTGGCAGGCAGAACTGACATCTCTTCCTCTTACTTGCCCCAGCTGGGGCAGCGGCTGTGGCAGCTGGATCCTCAGGTTGATCAGGAGTTCCTGCACTCTGTATAGCTTTGACAACTGCTGCAGAGGCTTCTGTGCAGGGGACATGCTTCCTTCTTTCAATGAGTGGAGTTACAAATGCCTTTCCTAGTTGCTCCAGGAACACCCTCCTCTTGTTCTGCTCATGAGGCATCCAGGTTGGGTTGATCTCTCTCCAAATCACAAAGGCATTGTAGGAGGAATCATCAATGATGTTGTGGAAGATGACCAGGGGCCAGTGGGCAGTCATCCTTCTGCAGCTGTATGTTCCAATCACCTTATTCAGGTTGTCCACACCTCCTTTGTTACAGTTGTAGTCTAGGATGATGGATGGCTTCCTGTCCTTGTGATCATAGTGCTATGCCAGTGTCTGTGTGCAGTGTGCTCAGAAGTACTACATTCTTATTTTTCTTTGGGATGTAGGAAACTAGGGTGGTGGTGAGCGTGAAGGCAAATGTTGATGAGAAGACCTCTCTCTCCTTTGTTGCAAGCAGTGCAGGTGGGAGCTCAGGTTTGTTCTTTCAAACTGTGCCAACCATGGTGATCTTCCTCTTCAGGAGCTGCTGTCATAAGAGCTGAAGAAATTGTCACATTGTGACCCCTCAGTCCCTCTGTCACATCAAGCACAACTTGCATCCACTGGTTCCTCTCTGGGCCTCCTCTGGTCTGAATCAGAGTTGTCTTGCTGGGTATCTGGAAAAATCAGCTCTAGAGCCTTTTGGACATCATGGATTCAGCACAAAGAGAATTTGGGGTAATGTCATCTGCAGCACCTTTATAACTTCTGGAAATCCACAGATCAAAGGCACTGTCCACTAGGGCGGCAGTAGTTCAGTTGGTAGAGCATTCGCCCACTGGTTGGTGGTTCGAATCCAGCTCTCGACATAAACATCATAGGTTAAGCGGTCAGACCCACTGACCCACAGGTTGGCTGATGTGATTCCAGCTCCCACAGATGAATGCTGTCATTGTGTCCTTGGGCAAGACACTTAACCCACCTTGCCCACAGTGCTGTGTGCACTGGTGTGTGTGAGTGTGTGAGTGGTTCCTTGTTGTAAAGCGTTTTGAGTGCCATGAAGGTGGAAAAGCAATGTAGAAAATGTGACCATTTACCAAGGCCACCTGTCTTGTCTTGTTTACATCTGCTACTGATTGATCTGAGACAGAACTAAAACCCTAACCCTCACATTCTGTGGTGTGTAGATAACTCTGTGACTGTGATTTTAACTGAATTTCACTGTTGGGTCATTTTGTACATTTTTTTGTACAGCATACATGATAATGTGAATAAAGGCAACAATTCACTTTTCCTAAAGTTTGGGTCAATCTAGGAAAAGTCATAAAATTTCAAGTTCAAAAATTATCGTTAAGATGATTTTTTGTTAGTTTTTAACGTGGTAGCGGGTCATTTTGACCCGAGGACAACAGGAGGGTTAATACCATACATGAAAAATTCCAGACAAATCAATAACATCTTCATTGAGAAAAGTATTTGAAGGACCCTCCTCTTGAAAAGTTACACAACGGACCTTTAAACATGATCAAAGCCCAGCGAACCCATGCTTACACACTCATGTTAGGTCTGACCTTTAGATTCCACATGTACTGTAAGTCACACGCCTGTATACACGGATTGTATGTGCATAGAAAGAAAAGGCCTAGATCAGTAGCGGGCTGTGTGCATGATGTGGTTTTGATGATTTAATTTTCTGCACAGTGAGCAGCCTGTGATTCCACGCTTGTACCTGTCACTGTATGATGACTGCAGCTGCGAGTGGCCATATGGGACATGCATACACACACATCCCATTGAAACACACTACACTAACGCGGTACATATATTACAAGTGCGGAGTTTAGGCTCGTTCCAGACAGGAGAATAACAAGCAGATGTCTCTACAATACATTATCTCTTGTATGATGCATATTTAAGGAAACCATATATAACATCGTGTCATAAAAATATCATTAGAGGACATCATTTTGACACGGTGATCAGTGAAGCTCGGAAACGGGGAATTGCATGTTTTAAAATGCACTGGCAGCGATGTGGGTTTGAGTGGCGGGAAGTGATGTAAACATGCTGTAATTTATACTGTAAAATTATAAAATGAGATGGATTATGATTATATTAGTGAACCCATGTGTATTTCACTCTGAACATACTTTCTTTAACGTCAAAGTAGACTAGCTGTGCAATGAAGAACCGCAAAAAAGGCAGGACAGTGAATCCCAACGGACGTGTATGTCTCATTACTGATAGTTACCATCAGTCAAATCAATGGAGATGTCATGTGGCTGCTTTTAATGTCTCATGGTGTAGCTTTTTTACACATGTTTTTTTTTTTTTTTTTAATGTGGCGTTTAACTACAAAAGGCAAATAAACATCGACTGGTTTCACCTCGTGGAAACTGTCTGACCTCAGAGCATTAAGATTCGTCGGTAAGCGAGGACCTTTTTATTTAACCAGTCTTTGCTATTTGGTCATGATATATGTAATGCGACAAATCCCATAGGAGGAAGGACAATAACTAGCCTGATTCATCAGCTGGTTTTACTTCATTTCACTTCGTACAAACCATGTGACCTCGCAGCCTTAGAATTCATTTGCTCGACAGTAGGCGGGTACTTTTTAACCAATCGCTGCCATTTGGTCGTGGTGTATGTAATGCACGGCTAACTGGTATATTAAGCTTTTCCCAAAGCCCGTAGGAAGAAGGACAAAAACGTCTTTCCCATGAATGAAATTCACCAAACATTCTCTTTATTCCGGCTTTAAATCCACGGAATATATGACTCTTTGCTGATTGGCTGGTGCCCGAACTTGCACTTGCTGGGCTTTTGTGAACCGTCTATTGTATTTTGATTCCTGACCGAGTCACTGGAGAGAAATGAAACTGAACAGAGGCACTAGGTGGTGCCAACCTGGTTAGGCAATAACGTCTTTCATTGATAAAATTCACCAAATATTCTTTGTTCTGGCTTTAAATCCTTAATCTCAGGAATTGTTGCCAACACAGAATGCATGACTTCGTCTACATCCATCTCAACCGCTTTGTTTACTGTTGTGTGCAAAAGGGACCGAGACAGGTGCTTGAGTTTGACGTCATGGCTTCACAGCTCTTCTCTGATTAGCCAGTGCACGGTTTACAACATCCAGGGTTCTTGCAAACCGTCTAGTTTATTCCGATTCCTGACCTAGTTGCTAGAAAGAAATGAAATTGAGCAAAGGCACTATCCTGTTCATTACATATTTGTTCATTTGGTGAAAAGAGTCTATTCATGTTTCAGTTTGGTTGTTGTTAGGTAGTTTTCTGTGGAAGACAGTCTGCTGTGATTGCTCATTTAAAATAATGAAGTTTATGAACAGGGTTATGGTTTGGATTAAAATTGTCACCTACTAACCTTATCTCTAACTCTAACCTTGCACCATAAACTAAACTGTAAAATTGAAAAAAATCTCTGGGTTTTGGGCAATAACACCAAAAAATGTTAATATATATCTTTTGAATGGGAAAAGGTCCTCACAAAATGCTTCAGATGCTTCAAATGATTCAAGTAATAATTTCTCTACAAGTACAACTTTACACATTACCATGGAAACCAGCACTACGTTTTCACTTTTGTCTTTCTGGAGCCATATATCTAGCAATAGTCTTTCAACTTCCTGTAATAGGTGCCATTTTGAGGATCATTAAATAGATAAAACTGTTTGATTTGCTATGAAAACTTAGGCTGTTCAAAAATATCCACAAACATATCCTAAATTTATCATGAGACATGTATCATGTACTGCATGATGAGTAGGGATGTAACAGTAATCAAAATATCGTGATATCGTGTCATCACATGTCTCACATTAATACCATGGGCTGCCTGACACAATATATCGAATTACAAAATTCTTTGCTTAAAAACATTATTTTATAGTAGCGATAGCTAATAAACATCGGAAACTACATATCCCACGATTCATTTCAGCATGTACAACATGAAGAAATATGATTTTACTTGGATTCGTGGGATTATGACAGAAATAATTCACATCAAAATTTTGTCAGGGTATTTTAAAAGCAAAAAAGTGTCCCATCTACAATTATATCAGCCTCTCCAAAATATCGCAATAAATATCGTACCATGAGATCCATATCGTGATAATATCGTACCAAGAGATTTGGATATCGTTACATCCCTAATCATGAGGGATCATGAGTGAGAACAGTGCTAATTTTTGTATCACTGAAACCTGTAAAGCTGCCGTCGCTGAACTCGTGTTTGTGTTTTCCTTGCAGAGTCTTCTACCCTGTCCTTTGATGGGAGCATGTACATGAAGGTGGTGATTCCTCATGTGATGCACACGGAGGCGGAGGACGTCTCCCTTCGCTTCATGTCCCAGCGTGCCTTTGGGCTCCTCATGGCCGCCACGTCCCGGGACTCTGCCGACACTCTGCGGCTGGAGCTGGACAGTGGGCGGGTCAAACTCACCGTCAACCTGGGTATCGTATCAGCCGTCCTCACATGGGCCCATAGCAATGTTTATTCATTATTATTATTGTATTTATTTGTTTATTATTATTAAAGTTGCTGTACCTGATTTTTAGTGTCTCAAAAATGTGAAAAATGCAACTACCTTTTTTTCAAATGCTTGCAGTGGACCAAAGTTATTCCTCATTTACCTTATGCATACCGACTAGGGATGTAACAATAACTGGAAATATCATGATATCGGATCGTCAAATGTCTCACAATAAGATCGTGGGTCATCACAATATATCGAAGTTTCTCTCAAAGTCTGCTTAAATGAATAGTTATGGTGCAGCGATATAGCTAAAGAAACTACAGAGAACTACATATACCATGATCCTTTGCTCCATTTCAGTGCAGATTACTAATACATTAAGAAATAACTGTTTTTAAGCACTTTAAAACTAAATTCTTTAGACTATGACAGAACCGAAGGCATGTCAGGGCATTTTAAAAAAGTAACATATTTACAATTTTGTTAGCCTCCACAAAATATCGCAATAAATATCCCTACCGTGATTTGCACATAAAATATCGTACCGAGAAATGTAGATATTGTTACATCCCTAATACCGACCATCCTAATTATTCACCGCGATGAGTTTGGAAGCCTCTTTTACAACTTTCAGAGGCTGTCACGGTAATGGCAACAACAACTAGCATGCAAATAACACACTTCCTGATTCTCAGACGATAACCATGTTTTATGATTAGATGCAGACTGTACATAGCAATTTCATTTGGAGCTCGAGATCTGCTTTTACAATATATAAAAATATCCGGTACAGCATCTTTAATATTTTCGTATTCGTTTCAGTCTTAACACGTCGTAAACCGTTGGCGTGTCCGTGTATGCATGCTCTGTTTTGCTTGGTCGGAGTTCTTTGGCTTATGCTGAGATGTTTTGTACTTTATCCATTATTCAAACACTTAACAAATATTTCCATTTTCAACAGCACCCTTTGAACCGACCATAGATCATACCCATTACTTTGCACATTCAGATGCTTAGTACATGTCACTAATAGCCGAAAACGCATTTTTTAAATTCTTGTGCTGTTCAGACTTTTTTTTTTTTTTTTGTCTAAATGGAATGCTTTTGCTTTTGGGTGTATTTTCTATTTCTTTGTTTTGGGTTTTGGTCATCGTAGCGGCTCCATCTACCTCTCTGTCCATTAGTAACCCGGGGACTGTAGCTGGCATCCGTCACGCCATGTTCAAAGATGGCACTCACCCCTTCAAAGGCCCAGAGTCTGCGGTCCGTTGGCAAACAGCGCGACGCCACAGCACCTTACACTGTACACTGACACAAAATACAATACAATACAAATATATACAATACTAAAACATACAAAGAGCGGCTACTGCTGCTAAAAATATAGACCTGACCCACACTATACAAACTGGGTCCATATATACAGTATATACAGTATATTTATAGACTCTGATAGGTGAAGGTGCTTGGTGGCTCGAGGCTGGTTGCTTCCACTTTTCTGTTGCGGTTGACGGCACATGATTCGCCTGGTCACATAGATTTTAACTCGGGCCAAAAATGTGTAAAAATGCATTAAAATATGATGCAAAAAGGCAGATCTTCTTTACTGATTTATCAAATTTGTGGCATTTTAATGTGATAAAAATTGCACTGTAGCATTTTATGTAACATTAAAACTGTATAAGAAGAATTTTGCCCCTCTGTGTTGGGCAATGCTCAAGCAATTGGTCATTTTATTTAGATTATTGTTTCATTAATATGTCTCAATTGTAATATTAGTACTAGTAGTAGGAGTAGTAGTAGGAGTAGTATTTATTTTTCTTTTCGTGTATTTTTACTTTGATATTCATTTTATGTAAAACAAAACAAAAAAATAGCAACAATTTCTCATCACAAATTCATGTTAATGCCACTTATGCCACTGATTTAGTTTATTTTAGTTAAGTTTTAGTTTAGATCTGACCTTAAATGTTAATTGGCTCTGATTGTTCCAGTTGCAAAATCAATGTGGCCAAAGTAAGTGACCATTTTAAACCCTTAACTTATGTACCAGTCCATGGTAGTAGTGCATTGAAAGAGAAAACAAACACAAACATTTATATTATTCTTAACTTAAACCTCAATTGGATTCTGAGTATAAGTACATGGACAAAGTAAAATGGTCGCCTGGCAACATGTGACCGTCCCCGGAAGGTGGCTTTATGCTCTTGGTTGTCTGCAGCTGTAACCTTGAAGGATGCGAATTCATCTGTCACTTATTCTCCCTCCCATCTAGACTGTGTCAGGATAAACTGTAACTCCAGTAAGTCCACTCTCTTCTTCAATCACTCTTTGATTCAGCCTTGTCCTAGCTGTGTGCACATGTAGTCTGCAGATAAGAGGATTTCCATGATAACTCCATAGCAGAAGTAATGGGCACATCAAAGTTATGCAAATACTTCTGAACATACTTGATAGATTGGAAATGACCAGTTTTCTGATTACGGTTTCTAATAGGCACTTCAAATACTAATATGTGCCGTTATTTTTGCATGTTTGAGGGATTAGTCTGCTCATTTGCATAAGTGCTTTTATAGCTGTTTTGTTTTAGTGAATTCATATTCGGTCGTTAATATCCAGTACCACATTTGGAACTCTATTAGTAGTACATATTTAAAATGTAAAAAAAAAAAAAAAAAGAAAAAGCAAGACAAATTAAGAGAAGGAGAGACATTATTGCTACTAGAAGTAATCAGAAACAGACCTTATATATATATATATATATATATATATATATATATATATATATATATATATATATATATATATATATATATACCTATAAACGTAAGGGGCTGCTAACAAGATAATAATTCATATAAGGCACAAATTTTAATATCTTGGACTTAAAAATCCAATAAAAATGCATGTATACTTTTGCATAGGGTTTAGTTCAGCAAAGTGAAAATTGATGTGTGGAGCAGTATTGCCCTCTAGTGGTCAGATTTGGAACTCCCACAGTTACACACAATTGAATCTACAAATACTGTTTAATGTATTTAATCCTAGCATTAGACTTAGACAAACTTTATTGATCCACGTAAGGGAAATTACTCCTTATGTATTTAATGAATGATTTACATAGCCTTATCGTGCAGTAGGAGTAGATGTGTGTGTCTGTCCCTCCCCTCCCTCCACTAACTCCCCCTCCTCTCCAGGCAAAGGCCCTGAGGTGCTTTATGCCGGACACAAGCTCAACGATAATGAGTGGCACTCTGTGAGGGTGCTGCGCCGAGGCAAGAACTTCAAACTCACCGTGGATGAAGACATGGCAGAAGGTACAGGCTGGAAAACTATGCGCAACAATTTAAAATAACACATGTTTAGTGATGGGTCATATATCAAGCATTTATTTGTCACTGGTATTTGTTGGTTTGTTTGTTTTTAACTTTGATGTACTACTCCACGTTTCAATTGTCTTTCCTCGCTTCCTTCTCCTTCGAGACCCCATTTTTCAGCTGTCGATCAAACGTGTCATATTAAAGGGCCCATCTCATACAAAATAACTCTTTTCACATTGTATCTTCTGCACATATACAAACACAATTTGGGTTTTGGAACATCTATTACACAATAGTTATGCAACTTACTATGAAAGGACGGCTATTGCTCATCCCCCCACCTGTCCTGAGAAAGCACAGGCTCCGCCCTCCAAACGTGACGTAGGCTCTGAGTGAGCCGCCCTTCCGCTGCCCATCTTAAGGGCCGTTTACACCAAAGCGTCAAAAAAACGCCTCGACGCCTCTATTTGGACGCCTTTGCATTTGAGTTTAGACGCCCCCGACCCGCGTCTTTGACGCTTTGGACGAACGGGACAAAAATACTTGACACGTATCCGTTGCCCTGGAAACAAGAGCCCGGCCCCAGTCTTTTCCCAAAACAATGTCAGACCAGACTGAGAGAGTGTTTTTATGACATAGAACATCAGCGGAGGAGATCGGGTCGATGACTGGGGCATATATATATTTATACTCCGCTAATGACACTGGATCAGTCCCGGTCTAGTCCTGGTCTAATCACGGTCTAGTCCTGGTTTGGTCCTGGTCTAGTCTCGTCTATCTGGTCTAGTCCTTGTTAATCCAGTCTAGTCCTGGTTTGGTCCTGGTCTAGTCTCGGTCTAGTCTCGGTCTAGTCCCGGTCTAGTCTTGGTCTAATACCAGTCTAGTCCTGGTCTAATCACGGTCTAGTCCCGGTCTAGTCGTGGTTTAGTCTCGGTCTATTCAGGGTCTAGTCCTTGTTTAGTCCCAGTCTAGTCCTGGTTTGGTCCCAGTCTAGTCTCGGTCTAGTCTCGGTCTAGCCAGATTCGTGCCGCGCTGACTCCGAAAACGCACCGCAAAAACGCAGGACGCTCTAGTCGCGCGTCCACATAGACTTTACATAGAAACTGGACGCTTTGACGCCTTGGTGTGAACGGCCCTTTAGGGAGAGAGGGGGAGACAGGCGTGCACCCTGATAAGGGAGGGGGGTGGGTGTGAAGCACTCTCTGCTACGTCAAATGCATCATAGGTGTAGCTGCTGCATCATCGTTGTAGCAGCTTTAGTTCGTTGGGAGGGTGGTAGAAATACGCTGCAATATGTTACAAAAACACCAAATCAATCTAAAAACCACTTTGGCGACACATACAAGGCCCATACATCACACTAGAAGTAGAAGTAGAAGTAGAAAGCTCTGAAAAGTTGATTTTGCATGAGATGGGCCCTTTAAGTAGTGTCCTATAGAAAACTACAGAATGAAGGAGTAAACATGAGGGAGGCTTCAGGAGGCAGATATCAGAGAAAATAATCAAACTTTGCTGGTCTCAATGAGGAGTTTTTATCCTGTCTCTTCTCTGTGTCTCCTCTGTGGGCGGGAGTTCCTCACCATTTTCCTGCAGAATCAAGGAGAGGAATCAAGGAGAAGGAAGTGAGGAAAGAGAAACGAGAAGCGGCCGTAGAATTGATACCTAGAGCTTTTCTTTGAGTCTTTTGTGTGTTATTTGCACGTCCTGCCACTGTGAGGCGCTGTATTCCCTTTATTGATTTGACATTATTTCAAGGCCCTGGAAGAAGTCTCAGTTTTTGTTTTTTTTTTGTTTTGTTTTTTTTATTTATTAATCAATGCTGGCAATACAAAATATCTTATGTCAACAATGCAAATGTATGACTGAGCATGTACATTTCTTTTTTTTTTTTTTTTTTTTTTACAATAATAAAATAAATAAAATAAAACTATAAAACAAATACACACAATGCAATGTTAATACAACAAAATACAATGCAAGAGGTCTTATGCATCTGACTGCATAAAATCATTTATTATAACGGCTTGTTTAGATTTAATGTGACGTAAGGATCTCTTAAATTGCAAAAATTCATGACAATATACATTGAATGAGGGTTTTATATCTGAGAATTTGCATTTATGAATAAATTGTTTGGCTAGTAATAAACAAGAATTATAGAACAGTTCCTTTTTGTTGTCTTGCAAAGTTACACCATATTTTATATCTTTATAAGTTACATTTGGTAAATCTGTGTCATATTCCACCATCCACAGTTGGAATGAGTTCCAGAACGTTCTAATATGGTTACAATAAAAGAACAAATGTTCAACAGTTTCTATTTCATTGTTACAAAATGTGCAGGTTTTGGGCTCCATATTAAAACGTTTTTTCAAGAATTCATTACAGGGGTAAATATCATTTCAAATTTTAAAGTGAGTTTCTTTGGCTTTAGGGGAGATTGGAAATGAGAGATAATTTTTTTCTAATTTTTTTAATGATATTAACTGTAAAGTCTTTAAGTACATGAATTCTTTTTAATGGGAGATGACACAATTTGTTAGAAATAATGTTCCTTATTGTTTTATTTGAGCAGTTTTTATCTTTAAATTCAAATTCATCTATGGTGAGTAAAGGGAATTTTGGTGTAATTTTATCATATCTCAACATGCCACTAACTAGATTTAATAATCCTCATGGGAGAGCTTTGATGACTGTATTATATTGCCGTTTTGAGATGTGTAAATCATATTTCTTCATAAGATTATCATAGTCCATAAGGTTCCCATTAGAATCTGTTAAATGTGAAATGGACCAAATCCCCTTTCTCACCCAGTCCTCATAATAAATAGATTTTCTTTTGGAAAGAATACATCTGTTGTTCCAGACAGGTACATTATGTGGAGTAAAATTGTGTGTATGCCATTTTCCAATTTAAAAGGACCTGTTGGTGGAATGTTGATCATTTGAGTGGTAATTTAGAGGTAGAGAAGTCACAGGCGAGCAGATACTCAATACCACCACAGTCTAAGAAAGAAGAAGGAAGAAGTATCAGGTGTGGCTGAAGCTATTACATTTCTTTGAAACAAGCACAAAAGAGATAAATTTATCAGCCTTACGCCCCAAAAGAAGATCAGAGCTTTTACAGTGGTTTGTGCTGATAAAATAATTAGCACAAATCTTGGAGATGTAAATTATAAAGCAGATTTATTATCAATGTGTGAATATTTTTGCTAACCAGTACAGCTAATATGATAAACTATATTTTGCCTTTGCTTTTCCAAAATTCACCAGACCAAACTGAAACTTAAATTTATCAAATATCCAAATATCTTCCCAAAAATCTCTCATTCTTTTATTTTTTGTTTTTGTGCTTTCTTTTGTGCTCAGGTCAAATGGCGGGTGATCACACTCGTCTGGAGTTCAACAATGTGGAGTTAGGAATCCTGACAGAAAAGCGTTTTGTCTCGACTACTCCTTCTCCTTTCATCGGACATCTTCAGGTAAATATAAATGCATGAATAAATAGATACAGCATGCTGGAAATATATGTGCTCCCATATGCTGCTGCCTGAAAGCCTATCACATATTCAAAAGGCAATGTGCTTGATAAAACTTTGTGCAACCCAAAGCAATACTGCAATATCACTGCAATTCGTTCAGAGGCAGGTGCTTTGAATGGAAAAACTAAAAGGAAAAAATATTAGGGCTGTCAGTAGGTTGAGGTCAAGAGTGTTTTAGGCTTAGATTATAAGGATGAAAATGAGACAACAGTAGAAGGGAGAAGTTGATGAGTGAGTGACTCATTGTGCAGATGTGTTTTATGAGTAGAGTTTGAGTCAGAGACATAGTAATAGATAGGCCCGTCATGATAAATATTGTAATCACTTTTTGAGGTCAGTATTCATCATGGGTACTTTTTCTTTGTAATAGTGGGAATTGTTTGTTATTTTTTTTTCCACAATATGATCAGATTTGAGCTGAAGAAGGTGGAATTATGAACAAAAATTATACAAACTGATTACTTAACGGTGCATTGTGTAACTTTTTGTTTGCATTTAAGTGCTTTGTGTTGCATTTTTGCATGAAAAGTGCTCTATACATAAAGTTTGATTGATTGATTGACATTTCTGGTGGAGTCTCTGTCAAATGCTTTTCTCCATGGAGATGTTATTGCTTTTTCTGGAATGTTTCAAAGTATGGTAAACCTTAAACCTTTCTATCTTCTTTGAGACCAAATAAGACCAAGTTATAGTTCAGATCTGTGTCAGATCTGTGTTTGTCTTCTAGGTATTTTGGAGCTATAAAATTAACTGTAATTATAAAAAAAAAAGTAAGGTAGAGTTGTTTATATTATGGAACATTTCCTGCAGAACAATGGCATCTCCGCAGAGAAAAGCATTTGACAGACCCTCCACCAAAAAATTATGCAATGCACCTTTAAGTATTGAACTATTATTCAGCTCAACATTATGTAACAATATTGTACATTTTGTGAATAATTCTGCTAAATGGTTTGGTTACATATTATCGTGTATTGTCTATATTTACTTCAGCAATATATTCCACTTGAAAGTTTATCGTGTCAGGCCTTGTAATAGTTTTGAGAATTTTTGCCATGCCCCCTTTTTAGTAGACCAATCAATAAGCAGGAATTTCTTCAGTTGAGCACAGCCCTAAATTATCCATACTTCCTATCTGAAAATCTGCTTGTGTTTCTCCCTCAGAGCCTGAAGTTCAACGGTATGCAGTACATCGATATGTGTAAAAACGGAGACATAGACTTCTGTGAACTCAACGCACGCTTCGGCATGCGCTCCATCATCGCTGACCCCGTGACCTTTAAGTCCAAGAACAGTTACCTGGGCCTGGCCACGCTCCAGGCCTACACCACCATGCACCTCTTCTTCCAGTTCAAAACCACCTCCTCCGACGGGTTCATCATCTTCAACAGCGGAGACGGAAATGACTTCATTGCTGTGGAGCTGGTCAAAGGGTGAGGCTTTTAATATATTTTTGATAACTATTCAATGATTTGTTTAGTATAGACTGGGCTAGACAAAAGAGAAAAAATTATGGGCTAAACGAGTCATATGAATTACAATTTTTGGAGAGGTCCAAACTTTTGGTTGTTATTAGTAGCAGTGGTAGTGGTAGTAGTTGTAGTAGTATGTTTATTAAGGACACAGGAAGACCAGACGTCCCTGTTTACCCGGGACAGTCCCAGTTTTGAACCCTGTGTCCCCTGTCCCAGCAGATTTATCCAAAACCAGTGATTTGTCCCAATTTTAAATGCATTAAGCCGGGCATATACTGTGCAATTTTTGACCATTTTTGAACTGATTTTTCACTCATGCGAATGTTTTTGGGATCAGGCCGTGTCGTGCTTAGTGTAGTAAACATGGGGTAACGAGAACCGATTCATACCTCACAACCAGCTCCCAATCAGTAATCGTAGGTCACAAGAATATCAAATCAGTTTGAAATCCAGTCGCCTCTCATGAAGGTTTCACACTGTTGAAGTAGTTCCACGTGCTGTGAACTTTTAAACCCTGCAATTTGGTCATACAGTTTGAGCTGGTGTTGAGTGAAACAGTTGAAAATATCACACAGTGTATGTCTGACATTCCTTATTATTATATTATTATTTTTATTATTTCTTAAGTTAGTTATTGTAATAGACCCCCTTTTGTTTGCTCATTTTCCCCTCATTATATTACTGTTATTCTATAAATATTTTTGTAACTGCATTGGTGAACTACAACACATGGTATGAAGTAATAAGTATTCTTACATTGTCAAAAATGAACAGTATTTCTTCAATTATTTCTCATATTAAAATATTTTATAAGGTAGTTTGTTAATATTACAGGCTGGTATTGATTTTCACACCTCCATTTTGCAAGCTCTTTGGAACATAATCCTTCTTGAGCTACGCAAAAACATTTCATTGTCAACTTTTATCACCATGAGTGAAACATCCTCATAAAACTTTGTAATCCAATAAGCGTGGGTGATAAAACATTCAACCCTGTGTACTAACTTCCTAATGTTGTTGTTCCCATGGCGACAGTTTCATCCACTACGTGTTTGACCTGGGCAACGGTCCGAGTCTGCTCAAGGGGAACAGCGACAGCCCCCTCAACGACAACCAATGGCACAATGTAGTCATCACCAGAGACGCCTCCAACACCCACACGCTCAAAGTGGACGCCAAATCTGTCACTCAGAACGTCAACGGGGCCAAGAACCTCGACCTCAAAGGTAAAAGTTCCCTTGTTGTTATAAAAGGGGGTTAGAAGGGGTAAATGGGAGACAGCCAGAGGTTAGTGCAGTGAGTAGAGCCAAAGTAGAGTGCAGGGCAGGGTGTGTGACCAGCTGTAGTCTCTCATCAGCGACAAAATCGTGGACAGTGGCAGTTAGTGCTTCTTCCATAATATAAATTCTAAAGAGGGTAACTTTTCTGATGGAGGGACTATCAAGCACTTTTCTCTGTGGAGATATTACTGCCTTGTCTGGAATGTTTCATGGAGACCAAACCAGACCAAGTTACAGGTCAGATCTGTGGAGAGGCGACCCTGCTCACAGCCAGAATGTTTGTTTTTCTAGGTGTTTTTAAGCTATAAAACCACCTGTAATTGAATAAATGTAAGGTAAACTGTTTAATGTCATACTGTGGAGCATTCCAGGCAGAGCAATGACACATCCATAGAAACAAGCAGATGGCAGACCCTCCACCAGAAATGTTACACAATGCACCTTTATTATTTATTATATTTAAGGTGTTCTATAACTTTTCTTGTGTAGGGTGTGTCATGTATTTGTCTCCATGGAGATCTCATTGCTTGGCCTGAAATCTGAAATTTACACAGTATGGTATAATTGCATTTATTCAACTGGTGTTTTTATTGTTCTGAAATACCTTGAAAAACAGGCGTTCATACTGTGACCTGTAACTTGACCTAGAGGTGTCACCAGCCTTGTCTGCACAGAGATAAGTTTAATGCCATAATGTGAAATATCTGAGGCAAAGCAAAAACATTTCCATGGCAATAAGCAGCTGCACCTTTAAGTAAATGCAATTTCAAGTGATTGGCTGTCAGCAGAGGCCAAAACTTGACACAAATGTCTAAGTTATAAGGTGGTTTGTAGTCCCTTTCACCACCATATTGCTCCTCTGTAACAATATGGACATCAGACTGTATAATACAAATGTGTTTTTCATTTCACAATACGATATTTATTGAGATATTGTGGACATGCTAACAGAATTGAAGAAATTCTACCCCTTCCATTTTAAAAGCATTGACTTGGGGCTATATTATTGTCATAGTGCAAAGAATTAAGATAGAAAAGTTCTTACAAGTTCTTATAACAGTTATTTCTTATGTTTTCTGTATTGAAATGGAGCAAAAGATCACAGTCTTTGGTTATTATTATGTCCCTACTAATAATTATATTTAATGGATAAAGAATTCTGATAAATATTAAAGGCATGCTAATTGAAACCAAAACAATAAAAATACAGTCAGAGCTATCCAAGAAGTCTAATGGTGGCCAAGTATCTAGCTGTACAACATTGAAATTGCCTGTTTTATGGCTCTGTTAAAATGTTTTATTACATCTGACATTTAAAAAATTAACAAGTATCTGGAGGATCACTTAATACCTCTGTGAGTCTGACAGCTCAACTGCTGTTCTTAGACTGATTCCTTATTTCAGCACCACATCTATGAGGGCAGAATGAGAAAAGTGAGCATGAATACGGGAAACTGTTATTAAAGGTGCATTGTTTAACTTTTTGGTGGAGGGTCCATCAAATGCTTTTCTTCATAGAGATGTTATTGCTTTGTCTGTTTTTTCACAGTATGGCATTAAACACTTCTACTGTATCTTCATGGAGACCAAACTAGATCAAATTACAGGTCAGACCTATAGAGAGGCAACCCTGCTCACAGTCAGAATGCCTGTTTTTCTAGGTACTCTTGAGCTGTAAAAAATATTACCTAGAGCTGTTTAATGTCATACTGTGGACCATTCCAGGTGGAGCAGTAACATATCCATAGAAACAAGCAGGTGACGGACGACCAACCAAAAAAATGACACAGAGAAAGCTGGAATATAATGAATCTCCACCAAATTTCAATGTTTTAACTTTTCTGTCTCTCTGCAGGTGATTTGTTCATTGGAGGACTGGGACCCAACATGTACCTCAACCTGCCCAAGCTGGTGGTGTCTCGTGAGGGCTTCCAGGGCTGTCTGGCCTCGGTCGATCTGAACGGGAGACTGCCAGACCTGATCAATGACGCCCTTTTCCGCAGCGGGCAGATCGAGAGGGGCTGTGAAGGTAAGACCCCCGCCACACAGAAAGAATATTTATTTCTATATTTATTAGCATTATTGTATGTTTTCAATAGGGCTTCAATCATTACTGTTACACCATTTTACTTCTTATTATATAGTTTTCATCAAAATGTATTTCCAACAGCTGACAAATATGTATAAAAATGTAAAAAGCAAAGTCTTATTTAGACAACAACAATTTGGTTTAAGTGTATATATAGACCATGTGTGGACTCTATCTCACATTTTACTGTGAACAAACGACTTAAAAATATCCTATTCAGTTTTCCCTTTATAGTTTGCTCTTATCTCCTAATAATTTAAAGCCCTGTTTCTTTACTGTTTTGCTTGTTATTGTTTTGGAGGCTGGATTGGAATTCTACACAACGCCACTAGATGGCAGCATAGCACTACGATAAAACCAGTGTAGTACTCTTTAATGAATGAGCAAAGAATTAAAGACATTACTATTTGATTTTTTTTTTTATTTTACTGTACTCTATTAAGATATTAATTTGCAGATCAAAATATACATGTAATTTGGTGAGTTCAAAATATATGTAATAAATGATAGTTACTAATATTTGCTATGAGTTTACATTTAGTCTTTTATTCGACCAGTGGCATTTTAATTATTCATTTTAATTACAGTTTGAGCCAATTTATTACATAAGTTTGTCAAGCAAATTTTATGTGCGATTGCCTTTGGCCGAGTTAAACAATATTTAGAACTAGAACCCATACAGTTCCATAGATTTCAGTAAGAACCCTATTACCATATAAAGTTTTAGTTATTTCTCCACGGTGACAAAGTTTGAGAATTCCCGGAAGCACTAACAATGCTGTCCCCTCACTAACCTCTCCTCTTCTTTTCCGCTTTTCTGTGTTCTGTTTGTTTACTTTCGGCGCTAACAAAGTTGGTTTCACCAAAGCCGACCTTCAAGGTAGAGGGTTAAACTCCGCCCCCAGAGGCCTGCTTGTCTGAAAGTCTGCCGTGTGCAATGCATCGTGGGTGTCTCCATGGTGACAGTGTCCCCTGGTGCAGCTGAGGTTACCCGCTCTCTGAAAAGACAAATGGCTAGAGCTGTGCATCCATCAGCGAGCTATTTCATTATAGTACCTGATTTTTACTGTGTTAAAAACGCCAGAAACAAAAGCAGTTCATTGTAAACAGTTTGCAGTGGGCCAGTGTTATTCCTCACTTACCTTATGCTTTCTGAGTGTCCTAATTATTCTTAATTTGGTTGTCATGGTAAAACTAACAACAACTAATATCCTAACTGCGCACTTCTAGGTTCTTGGATGCTTTCTAAGATACAGACAATACACTGTGGACTTATTTTGTTTGTCAAGAGCTGATTATATAATATCTGTAAGGCAAGATAATTACTTTTCAGTTGGGGGTCCTTCACCTTCTTGTTTCTATGGATATATCATTGCTCTGGCCTGGAATGTTCCACAGTATGACATTAAACAGATCTATCTTACATTTATTCAATTACAGGTGGTTTTATAGCTTAAAAATACCTCAAAAAACAAACATTCTGACTGTGAGCGGAGTTGCCTCTCCATAGATCTGAGCTCTAAATTGGTTTATTTTGGTCTCCATGAAGACAGAGAGATTCAAGATACTTTAATACTATATACTATTTAATACTATATACTATTTAATACTATGAAATATCCCGGACAATACTGTGAAATATCCCGGACAAAGCAATAACACGTTCATGGAGAAAAGCATTTGATGAACCCTCCTACAGAAAAGTCACACAATGCACCTTTAACGTAACTCCTTTTAAATGAGAAATTTCAACACACCAAATGTTTCTTTCATTAAGAGGAGTTTGTGGCTTGTTCCCAGTGAAAATTACTGCTAATGTGGGCGTGCAATACTGGAACAAACAGAGTTGAGTGGATGGTAATTAAGTAGCAGCAGAACAGGCAAATGACTGATGTTTGTGTAAATATGTGGAAAGGTAGAGAGGAGACAGGCTTTGTGATCACAGTGTGGGAGTGGGACTGTGTTCTCCAATGGACATGTCAGCTCTGCGGGAACAAAGTCACACAAGTCTCATTATACTGAATTTGCTTTAATGTAGCAGGAAGCTGGCGTTTGAAGACGGAGTTTGAAGCTGGATCCAGAGGTTAGGATCTGCGTTGTTATTGTAGATCTCCCGTACTAGTCAGATGAGTCATATCCTTTGAAAGAGATCTCTATGAAAATATATATAAGGAACTTACTCTGAGTGAGCCTTGACGACCTGATTCTAAAGCGATGCAATCTGGTACATATCACAACACTTTCAATGCAAAATAAACCTACCCTCCTACTGAAAGCAAACTAAAGTATATATATTACACACAACATGCTCATCTTTGTGTCCTGCGGTCTCATTTTTGAAACCTGTAGATAAACATACTGAAAGTGGGTACCGACAAAACACAAACTCACTTCTAATCTTTTCGAGCAAAAATTTCCAACCTATTCTTTGAAAGCCCCAATGCACCAAGTTCTGGACTGCTCAAATCCAAGTCAAGTTGTCTTTAACAGAATTTTTTTTTAGTTCTTAACACTGTATGTAACATTTTTGTACACACGTTTAAAAAAAAACAAACTTTTATCCTAACATAAGGCTATGCAATGAATCAAAATTTGATCGCGATTTCAATTTGTGTGTCAAATGATCTCTAAACTCATATAATCAAATTGAAACTATAAATCTTTTTTAATATAAATATGTATATGTGGTTTAGTTTTAAATATAGAGATCGTAGACTAGCTGGATATATAGTTTATTTTGGATACATTTATGTTTTTCTATGCCTTATTTCATGTTCAAAGTACATTTTATCGCAAAATTGCTCTTAGGTTTATATTTGTAGCCTGTATTTATCTTCAGTTTGAAAGTTTTGCATAAATTATCGATAAGAATGTGGGTGTTTTTTTGAGAGAGCGAGAGAAAAAAATGTGTTGTGTAACTACAAAATAATCTCTTGAATAATCGTGATTTCTATATTGACCAAAATAATCCTGATAATGATTTTTTTTCCATAATCGAGCAGCCCTAATCCAACATCTTCTCAAGATCAGGAGAAGTGTCCAGGCGCTGTACTTCAATTGAACACTTCACTAGATGGGACAAATGTGGAGGGCATATTTTCTTAACGGGACAATTACTTCTTTAATGATGTCTTGGTTTAAGACGTCATCACATCCAACCAGCATCTATAGAGAAAACAAATTATACAATATTAATGTTGCTTGTAAATAATTAGTGATTATTACTGACCCATTTAGACTCTTATCACATGCTTTGTTATCCACTCTAATGTATTTGGAGAAGGATGAACCAAACTTACATGCTTAGACCCATCAGGTTTGCACTCATGAGTAATTTACCCAGAGGACAGTGCCTTCTTCAGAGAGTGGGTATCCTTTTTCCTCTTGATGAGAAACCAGCTGACCTGCTCCACTCTGTTCCATGCATTGCACACAAGCCACTCTTTCACTTTCAGCAAATCTGTACAACTTCTTATGTCTTTTCGTCACTTCATCTCGCACTAGACCTGCTTTTGTTTTGTTTTTTTATCATTATTTTTACTTGTGTTTTATTTATGATGGTTTTCAGGGGGGGTTTAGTTAGCCCCTGTCAGTCTATACACAACAGGGTATCATTATCTATGCTGTGCTCTTAAGTCTGTTTCTGCATTCCCTCATACTCCTCTTAGTGCATTCACCAGCACATGCACTGACAGGTTTTTATAAGTTTACTTTCACTGTTTTAATATGAATGTTTAGACTTTCCAGTGTCCGTCTATGTATTTTTATGGCAAGTCAAATGTTAAAATGCAGTCTGGCCAACCAAACCCATTGCACTAAATTAAAAATATTGACATAGAGCAACTTTAACTCTATATATAGCAACAAAAAGGATATGAGGTCTGAACTCTAACAAACTTTCAGACTTTTGATGAAGGTGCACGATGTAACTCTTCAGGTGGAGGGTCTGCCACTGGCTTGTCTCCATGGAGATGTTATTGCTTTGCCTGAAATATTACACGGTATGGTGTTATTGGATTTATTCAAATACAGCTATTGTATTGGTGCAGCTTGCATTCTTACAGTGAGCCGTGTCTCCTCTTCACAGACCTGGAACTTGGCCTAGTGCCGTCACCTGGTTGTCTCTGTGAATGTAGTTTAATGCCATACCTTGGGACATGGTTGACAAAGCAATATCATCTCCATGGGTACAAGCAGGTGTTGGATTATCCACCATAAAAGTGACATAGTGCTTCTTAAAGTGCATTCATTACTCACTCCAATTATGAATCAAACACCAGTTCTTTGTGGCTGGCCAGGCTGGGCTCTTTGTGCTTATCCACAGAGGGAATGCAGCGTCTCAAGTTTTACTCTGATAAAACTCGTTCATGTTGGAATGAAACATCATGCATGTCCACCTTACAAACAGGAGGAAAAGATGAAAACAGTGTCGCCACAGGAGTCACAGGAAACAGGCGTGACTCTAAGTACCACGGGGGCAATTTCAGTTTTAGGGGAGCGTTGATATAAATGAATCCAGGTGATTTCTGCTCCTCGTGCTTGAGCACTGATGGGTTATTGGACGTCTTTGCGCTGAAAGAAGCATCGGCCATTGGCTTCACTCTGGACCTCCTGTGGTGACACTGTCTCCTCCTTGTACACACATTTTGTACGTATGTTCAACTATTGTATTATTAGATATATAGCTGTTATGATACTTCAAAATGTAATAAAAGTTTGACAAATGACATCGCAGTAACTTGCATTCAGGACAAATCTTCTGAAGTTTAGACCAAGCCTCCCAGTGGGAAATTAGATGTAACTTTGAAACAGAATATTGAACATTGAAACTGGCATTGCTGTTGTTGCGTTCTGGTCCAGTAACAATATCCAAATCTCTTGGTAAAATATTTTTACAACATACATCTCATGGTATGATATTTATTGCAATATTTTGTGGAGTGTAACACAATTGTGAATGTGCTACTTTCTCCTCTAAAATGCCTTGACAAGACTTAATCCAAAGAACTAAGATTTAAAAGTGTTAATAACATTTATTTCTTCTTGTAGTCTGCACTGAAACGGAGCAAAGGATCATGGTCTATGTAGTTCTATGTAGTTTTTTTTTTTAGATACTGCTGCCCCATAACTATTCATTTATTAATTGAAGAGACATAATTCTGTATATTGTGATGGTCCACGATATTACTGTGAGACCTTTGACATATGATATCACAATATATATTTTGGTTACGGTTAGATCTCTAGTACTGATATGTGTAAAGACAATATAAACTATTTAAAAACATTAAGGAAGGAACATAGTGTATCAGTTAAAAGAATACAATATATAATGTAAAAATATATATAATAATGCCTCCATTTCCAGGGGAGTCAAAAGGAATTTTCTGCTATACTCTATACCACTTCTATTACTCCCACAAATTCCAATCCAACTTTTGGTAAAAAACATTTGTGTCCACAAAGTTAAGTTTAGTGGCATCCATTTCTCCTGACAAGTTTAGTCCCAGCAGCATTGAAGGGTGGGTCTAATGCAGACAACACATTTCTCTGTGGGAACATTAGAGTGTACCTTACCTTAACTTAGTTCCATTCTGATGCTTGGTCCAAATTTCACTGGAGCTCACGACAATGTCCATTTGTCCTATTTTTACATTTTGAAGCATTGAAACAGGTGTATCTAATAAAGTGTCCAGCGTATACTCAGAGTGCATTTTTCTTGTGCATGATACTGGTACTCTCCTGACTCAGCAGAACCCTCCACAGAGTTTAACAGTACACCTGTGCTCTTCTTCTGTCCGTCTCCGTCTCCGCGGATACAGGGCCTAGTACCACGTGCCAGGAGGACTCTTGTGCCAACATGGGCGTGTGCATCCAGCAGTGGGAGAACTTCACCTGTGACTGCACCATGACCTCCTACACGGGCACACACTGCAATGACCGTGAGTACAGACTTTACATTCAAACAGGGTTCCCACCGTCAGAGAGGGCGTTGATTGGAGATGAGGATCTAAAGGGCGCAAGTGGCATCTTAGTAACTTAAAGAGCCCATATCTCCCTGTTTTCTGATTAGTTTCATCACCATAAACATACCCAGAGTTGTGTTTTGTTTCATTGACACATGTTTAACACACAAAACCTGCATATTTAGGCTGAGCTCTTTTCTCAAACAGAAAACACTCCGTTGCACTTTGTGATGTCATGTGGTAACACAGCAAGTACTCCACTGTGTTTTAAACTGCATACACCTTAACTACAATCATTTGGATGATTTCAGCTCTGAATTTTCTGACCTCTACTGAAGTAAAGGTAAAAAGAAACTGTTAAGTTGAAAACTCATGACATCACAAGGTGGAACAGAGCATTTTGAACTTTTACAATGTAAATAAACTAATAATAAAGGGTTACTCAGACATGTGTGAATGAAACAAAACACAACTCCTGGTGTTTTTGAGATGGTGACAGCATTATAACGTGGCTTACATAATAGGACCTTTAACCTAAAAATGTATAAAGAAATAAATAAATAAATAAACTGCACACTTTGAATTGACTTGGTCTTAAAAAATCACACACACTGGTGATGAATGACAAATAAAACTAAATTAAACAATTTAGGTCCAGTATGTATTTTTATATTCTGACAGTGGATCATATCTCATTAACATTAATTCTACATAACTCAAATATGCATACATTGCCACTTCCCCCTATAGATTCTCAGAGGTTTAATGTTTGTCTAATTGTGGCGACGGCAAGTACAATTTCCATTCTTACAGTAATACGCAGATTGGTTTGGTGTGGTTAATTCATGAAAGCATACACTCTGCATACATATTATACCACTTACATGCATACATTATTGATAAGGTTCAGGGTCATATCTATAAGAAAGGCGTCCAGCAATGGAACTATAGAGAGCCTGTGTTCGTAGAACACATTAGATGGAATAGGCAAGTGGTCTCATTGTTACATCTCATGTTACGGATTCATACACTCTACACGTTTTACTTTGTAGTAAGCTTTCAGAACATTGACTTTCATTGCTCTTTCTTTCACATTTCATTGTCATATAGTGTCTAAATTGTGTGTTGGACATTGATTTAAAGGTGCGCTGTGTAATTTTTCTGGTAGAGGATCCACTACCTGCTTGTCTGCATAGTTTTGTGATTGTTTTGCTTGGAATATTCCACAGAATGCTATTAAATTTGTCTATTTTGCGTTTATTCCATTACAGATGTTTTTATTGATTAAAAATACCATGAAAACAGGCATTCTTACAATACTCAGTGTATCGTAAGAATGCCCTCTTCATAGATCTGACCTGTATCTTGGCCTAGTTTAGTTTTTTGCTTATCTTCATGGAGATGGATGGGTCTAATTCTAATTGGATTCGCTGTGTAACATTCCAGGCAAAGCAATAACAGCTCCGTGGAAACAAGCAGCTGGTGGACCCTCTAGGAGAAAAGTTACACGGTGATGGCTTGAGAGAAGATAAAATAGTGGGAACTCTGTGCTTTTCTTGTTTTTGTGCAGAAGAAGCCCTCCAATATTCAAAAGTACTTCAAAGTTTTCAAAAGTACGCAAGTTAAAACTCTTATAACCTCCTTCTTTTACCTAATACCTCTCATCGAATTAAATTTATTAGAAGTTGTGATTATTATTGGATGGCTTCTTTTACATGTTCAAATCTCCATTCTGTGCACATTTTCAAACACACACTATTACATAACACTGAAGTATGTGAAGTACGCCAATGTCAGCACACGTATCATATACACACACACACACATGCATGGAACCACGATGCTATAGGAGCCTGTCTATTGATGTATCCTTGGCTAGAATTTTCAACACTTTCAAGTATTTATCAGATGTTTTACACTTGACGAAACTACAGCTCGCTATGATCTTCAGAACGGCTTGTTGGTGATTTGGCTTCATGTTTGGTCCTCATAGGTTACAATCCGGGACTTTGATGTGGCAGGCTTTTTGAGTCCTGCCAAATGAAGTGTTAAATAGCCACTTTTCATAACCGCCCTTCAAATGGCTATCGTGGAAGGCTATATTTGTGTATGTACGCGCGTGTGTGTGTGGAGTCAGTTATCCCCATGACGACAGGGGACTTCCCTCCAGTAATCGCGCTCGGAGGGCTTTCATTTAGCGGTTAATAGTGGGGGCATGGCGGGGCTGGGTTAGACTAATGATGTGCAGAGGCTGTTAGGAGGACTGCTCGGTGTGAACGCTGCCAGACGCTAATCGTGCACATCCCGGATACTGTCTGTGACTTTATATCTCTCAAATCATCATTTTATGCTCTGTGAAATGTTGACGCTGCTCTGGAAGTGAAGAGAGTAAACTGGGCTTGTTAGAAGGTCCTGCTTTTGCAAAATTGAGTTGGTGGTTTATAAGCGGCTTCTTCAAAATGTGCAAGGGATGTTACAACACAATATAATAGCAAATTGTTCAAAATGATTCTCAGTACAATACACATGTGACTAGACCTTTCACGATAATTACTATATTGATTTTATTCAACATATGAAAAATGTTACAAGTCAGTTCTGTGAGGCAAGTCCAATCATAGACTCATACTTTACGTTCAGACTGCAGCCTGAAGTGACACAGATCAGATTTTTTTTCAAAAGTGACATAGGCCACTTGAACATGTGCTCCTAAAACATATACATATTTGATCTTTTGACGTGTGACTTCAGTCTGAATGGCCAAGTCCCATCCATCCCACCCACACGTCAGGCTCTGAGTTTAGTCAATGGGGGGAAAGCGAGGTTAGTGAGTTTATTAACATTTGGGCAGATCGCTGTATTCAGGCCAAATTGAAAGGGTCTTAACAGAACTGGTTGGTTTTTGAAATGATTGCCAAAGAAATGGCTGAGCGCGGCTACAGGCGATCCTAGCTCTAATGTCAACGAAAAATAAAAAGCCTAATAAAAAGTGAGCCAAATACAAGGAGGCTAAAGTCTCAAACAAATGAAGCAGCCGTGGGTGTGTAACCTGTCCATTTTACCAAGAACTGGACCGTATTTTGGGAGCATTTAGACTACTTTGTGTGACGTCATTGTGTCCATCAAACACTTTTGGGGCGTTTAAAGTTCACACTGGAGTCACATACAAGTCGCATTTAATTGGAAATGTGAACAACCTCGCAAAAAATCGGATTCCACAAAAAAATCCAAATTGAGCATTAAACCCTGCAGTCTGAACACAGCCATAGACTGACCCACTAGCCGCCATGTTCTAAATATGAAGTGTTTATGGGGACGCTTTTCATCCCTTCTGATTTCGGCTCCAATTGACTTTACAATGAAAACTTCTCACACTTCTCTCTGCAGCTGCTGCAGTGAGCCTTGTCATTTTGGTCCTAAAATGCCCTCATTAACCTGCTCTACATGCTCCTGAGGTTTTTATTGTTCTATTTTTTCTGTTAATAAATTCCTTTTCCTAATATGGAGTCTGGCTCCAAATTCGCTCCTATAACTGCTAGCCTTATGAGCTTCATTTGACTGGAGCTGAACGCTGTGGGTGGTGTCACTTCTTTACACAGTCGGTAAAAATGCATAATTTTTTCAGCAGTAAAAGTACCTGTCATTCACTTCATGGGAAATAGATAACTTTAGCAGCCCCAGTAGTTAAACGACATAAAAGAAAATGTATTTATTGTGTTAGGTAATTGCTTGATGGCTCATTAAAACATCTTTGTAAAACCTTGATGTAGCCTTGACAAAGACTTACGCAGATAAGAAGTGCTGTGTTTATGTGTTAATTAGTGATGAGAAAGCCTCCATTAATTACCTTCACCGCACAGTCTGGGATGACGAGGGCCAACTCCTATTGATCCTATATTGACGCCCACATATATTCAGTTGAACCGCGCAGGTGCTCAGACATTAACTTACCTCAACAGTTTCATGACATTGCAGGTTTCAAGCTTATTTCTGCGGTTTGGAGACAGATGCTTTGCCTATATTGACTTCTCTACCCATGCGTATAATGACATTCTTAACTGGACCCTATTGCTTAATTAGAATTTTGCAGCCGATTTTCAACTCCATCTAGCAAATTCTCCCCATTTCCTGCCTTCCATTTGAGAAAAGTCGAGATAAGACAGAAAAAGACACAATAAAAGATCCAAACAGGAGATGAGCTATGCGGTTTTAACTAGGCGTTCTTAAATTTCCCCAAAAAGCCCTCTCAAGTATACGAGACACCACAATTTCGAGATAAGGAACTCTTTCGTTTGACTTTGAAGGCTTTTAACGTCCCATTGGGTTGAGTTGCTATGGCGATATCGGTGTTGTCCAGCAGGTGGCAGTGTACACATGAACAGAGCGCCGCGCAGCCCTTCCACAAAATGAGATGCAATCCTCGAAGCATGAAATCAGCTTCAGTGCTATTTTTCCCCCAATGCTTTGCCACTTCAACCTTTCTCCATCTTACCCATAACACACCCTCGTTGATGCTACAGTTATAGATCATAGCAGCAATATTGTGGTATTTTAATTGTCCAGTAGAGATTTGAGATTTGTTTTTCATGCATTTATTTTGAGGTAGGTCTAATTAAATGTTGGGAGTATGGCTGTAATTCTATGTAAACCACACAGTATGAAACAATTGCAATACTGTGGACTATATTAGTGTCATAGTCCAAAGAATTAAGGTAGAAATGTTCTTTATAACGGTTATTTCTTTGTTTTCTGGACTGAATTGGAACATAAGATCACTGTCTATGTAGTTTTCTCCATTTTTAGCTCTTGCTGTTATACAATAATGCATTCAAGCGAAGAAGCTTATAATTCGATATATACTGTGACAGCCAACGATATTATTGTGGGCACATTGACAATACGATATCGCTCACTCTCTCTTCCTCTTTCTCTTTTTCTGTTTCGCTCTCTGATAGCTGCCAGCAAATATCAGTAAT